CAAAACTTTTGGGTCGTGGACCCCTGTTTAATGGAAACTCTACCGGCGGACCCGTGATATGTATTTAAGTTCAGGACTAGGCTCTAATAAACTTTGAGAATGCACTTTCGCACGGAGAAGTTGTGGTAAATGGAAGAAGAACTACTACAGCCGCTTTCGCTGTGCCAGTATATAATTCCTTCGTTTAACACCAGAAATCCCACAGGGACAATTTGTGATACCAACTAGTACAAAATTAAAATTCAACCACGTACGTTTCTGTGACAATGTAGCAAAGATTTGTCTTCGTTTGACGGCTTATCTTTGTGTTATATGTTCAAACTTTAAAATGAAAACAAATAAGTGAATACTAGGATCACAGAACAAGTCCCACATTTGGTTACCTTGCTAAGTCAAACTTTAGAGTATAAATAAAGTAAACAGTACAGTCAATATCTGTTACGTAGCACAAAGAATTTATATTCAACTAGCAAAATCGAATGCGCACATTTGTCGTACACCGAAAGTCCCTCCCTTTCTTTCTCGGCTTCCCAGGTTGGGATCGCACCAATGGGTCTCTCATTCCGATTGGCCGATTTCGAATGATAGCGACTCTCGAAATGAACGCAAAAATAAGTCTCATGATTCATTTATCCCCTCTCCACGAGGGACGAATTCCTAGTTATGTGGGCATACTTTGACGGAGAATGAACCACTTCGCTTCAACTAATCGCATCACAAGGGATTACCACACTATCCATCTGATATTTGACACCTTAGTTCACTGACATCTTAGTCTTCTGCCAAACCCAGGTTTTTCTTGGAAGGAGTTCACGTTACGTCGGCCAATGACTAGACTAATGAGGACTGACAAAGCTGAGCAAATACCATGTCTGCACAGCTTTGACATGGGAGTGTAAAATAAAAGGATCCTGTCCAAGACATTTCGGGAAATCCCACGGACTCTTTGAACGTATTCCACAGACCACGTTTAGAGAAATACTGACCTAGCCCGAATTTGATGAATCTTAGCGTTGACCAGTGACTAAGGTGCTATCACCCAATAAGGATAAATGTTGTACTGTTTACACTCGCCACTGGTACGCCACCACCTACAAGCTTGGGGCTCACTATGTGCATGCCAACTTTCGGGAACATGATCACATTTTACTCTTACAGGATGAACAAGCTATTCCAGGCAAGTTGAGTTCGCTTTAAAAATAGGAGGTTGATCCTTGTACCGCAATGGCCATGGGGCACGTAGTGGACGGAGGGGCCATAATACCATCTGAATTTTCGCTAGAGAGACTTATGGTAGACGACTGCCTCTGAGGGCATACTGTTGCCTCTGGAACGAAGGCTGCAGATGAGTGAGGTGAGATTGAATAATCCATCGAGGCAGTGGGAGATGGTACATTGAAACGCAAAATCAGCGTCGGAGGAGGCGGTGGTCACCGCAGGATTGCATTCGTACGATTCTCGAGGGGTTTTGTGCAGACACACCCAAGTTAGTAGTTAATATAGGCTGAGGTTGATGGAATTCATCGGACGTTATGGTTGCGAAGGGTGACGCTCGTACGGTTCCATCTGGAGGCGTGATTGGATGTTTGGTTTCAGTTGACGGTTGCGGAAAATCACTGGAAGTGGACGTTGTGTGGTGTTGATGATAGAACAATCTAAGTCGTTGCAAGCGTTTTCTGATACCGTCCCTAGTGCGAAAGGGGAAGACGCGCTTCAGTCATTCTAAAAGGATATTTAAGGAAGGAGACATAACCGCGAAACGTGAGGCTGCTAAAAGTAAGGATTTGTCATCCCTGGCTGACCAGTTGTAAGATTGCCTCGGTAGTCGGGCTAGACAGTCTGCATTGTAACTGACAGAATGCTGATGTCACCAATGCTGAGACAGGCCATTTTTAGTCGAAAACGTACAGTGACATGTTGTGCATTCGAAACTGGAAGTATTCCTGGCAGCGGCTGTGGTGACTAAACTCGTAGGGTTCCTGAGATGGGCCGCCAAATGGCGCCGCAGGCCGCTCCAAGATTTAAACGTCCTCGAGCACAGTGAACAAGAAAGAGGCTGGAGTACGTCAGAGATCGTCGCCGGATCGGAGGCGGGAGGTTTGCATGTTGATAAAGTAGCTTCAGCAGGAGAAACTCTTTGTCGTGGTGATGGCAGCAACTGAGGGAGGCAATTAAGTAGTACACATGGTTGTCGTGATCCCGATGGTAGGGCTATGGGTGCTAAGGGTGAGGGCGTGGGTGACAGGTGGACGCGGTTCCGAGAGCTAGCTATGGAGTCGGCAGAGGCCGGTCCGTTTGATTCGTTGAAAGAGCAACCAGCAAATCCACTGCTCTGACTCTGCAGGGCAGGGGATGAAGGGAAACAGGTGGGAGCCTGCGCCGCCGGCCGTTCATAGGCCCCTATCCGCGGCTGGAGTGAGGGGGTGTATCAAGTTGGGCGTGTATAAAATGGCATTCGGGTCTTTGGAGGGATTAAAATCTGGAGCGTTGGTGATAAAAGACTTGTTGGGCGATCCGGGATGACAGCGGAGGTGCGAAATATCCGGCTGGCGACGAGTGACATATTTCCCAATATAAAGTACTTCCAATTCTTTGTTGCTGTCAGAGGCAGATGATAAGCTGGATGATGTACGAGAGGATGCTGAGCCGGTGGAAGGCGCAACTGGAGCAGAGGGGCGATGTGATCTATTCTCTGGAGTGGGTGACGCGGTCTCTTTGGATGCTAGGGATATCACAGGAAAGCTCGGTGTGTTTTGCTCCGGACTGCGGTTACTGCTTGTGTCCTTAGTAATATTAGCGGTTGCACCCTTCGTGGGTGTTAACGACTGTTGAGGTTGGTGGCGATGAAGGCGGCGGCCTGGAGGGCGTTTCCATTTTAGAAATTGGAGCCGGTTCCTTATTGCTGTCATCGTTCGGAAGGGGAGTTTAGTTTGTAAAAGTGGCAGAAGCTGCGCGAATGAAGATACAGATTCGGCTAAATGAGCTGCGTGCAGTAATAACTGAGCATCTTCCTCCGCAGACCAGTGTACTGAGGATATGGCCTTTCGGGATGACAGCATGTCTTGGTAAATAGTGTGGTGTGCCTGGCGGCAGTGAGTGGTAAGCGCTCTTGCTGAGACGAATTGACGATTGCATTGTCGGCATGACGTCACCGGAGCATCGCGTATACGTAAATCGTTGGGATGTCGTTTGTGGTATCCGGTATGCCGAGTAAGACCAGCAGCCGGCGAGAAATGAGCGTGACAGATATTACAGGTGTAATTTTGCAACACGGTGTGAGAAGTCGAAATTATGGCGGAGGTTGTCATTGTTGGTTGTGGAATGTTGTTTGTTACTCCGTCGATGTGCAGTGATGGGGAATTCATATTTGAGATGTGTGAGTGAATATGTGCACGGTGCATGAATCCGCGGTCGACTAAAAGAGACTATCCATAAGGCTTAGGCCACAATAAGTGAAAAATAGGAATAAAAGCTAAAGCAGAATAGGGGAAGGGAAATGATGTAGCCGAGAAGGATAATGGAAGAATTTATATAATGCACGAATTACCCCAAGTAAAATATGATTGAGATCTAAACACGAGCATAAAAATTCTCTAGCTAGTCGGTCAGGTCAAATATTGTTCGCAGCATGCGTAAAACGACAAAAACGGACAAATAAAAAATAGCGATTGCCATAATACTCCCGAGAAAAACCAAGGTAGGTGGACAGCACTTGAAAGCCCAGAAAAATACCCCTACTTGAATCACAATTTATCAGCACCATCTGTAAAACATCAAAAAATAAAAGCCCCTCTAACAACGTGAGACGATCATAAAGCGTTGGCGAAATCAGGCATGCGGGGTCAATGTGGCATTAACCACTAACACTATAGGTCAGATAGGCCGGCAAAATCTTTGTAGAGTGTTGATCAAAACTTAGCCTAAACTGACGAGAAGCTATTGGGGGCGATCACTATCAAACGTCGGTTCATCAAAAGGAGGCTCATCAAGAGGAAGCTAAAAGTTTGGAGTTTACTAGGAATACAAACCAACATACATAAAAAAGACTGTAAAAAGCACAAGTAATGTATATAGTATATAATAATGACAAATAATTGTATGTACGCATTTTGAAGATATAAAATACCCTTAGAGAAAATCCTTATAAAGAGACATTGCAGTAGGAGGATCAGCCGGAATATGATATATAAAAAGCAAATGTAGGCTAATCCCAAGAAATTCATGAGCGTAAGATGACTTAAAAGAAAGAGCGTAAAAAACTACGTAAGATGGATATAAAATGTAAGCAAAACATGGCCCAAAACCTACGGAAAAACCACTTTAGTCAGACTCACGGTACATGTTGGACAAGTGAAAACGTTTGTCACAGTTTTTGTAAAAACAGTTGTAAATTTGTCTAAAATTCTTGTTTCAGTAAATTCAGTGCACAGTTTCCAGCAAAACAGTATATAATAATCCAAATTTCGTTGACTTGGCAAGAAGAAATCACACAAAACTGCTGGAGCACAGTAGACACGTCCGCCACACAACTCAGCTCGTGCTACATTCGTGCAACATTGCTTGCTACCTTTGTCCTTGTATAGTGGTAGCACGAGGACATCCTTCAGTTCAGGAGGTACCTCCTCCTTAATCCACACGCGTTGCACCAACTGGTGCAGCGCAGTCAACAACGCGGGTCCACCGTGTTTCAATACTTCAGGTGGGATCCCGTCACCTCCGGCCCATTTGCCGTTTCGTAGCTGAGCAAGTGCTCTCTGCGTCTCATCCCGTTTCGGCGTATCCGCCAGATCCGCCTTCACATCTTGCTGCTTCAGGTAGTTCAATGTAGGCCAGTCGATCTCTGAACGGTTGTTCAAGAGACAGTCAATGTGTTTCCGCCAGACCTGCATTATGTTTACAGTCTGGGTGCAGGTAGCGCCTGAACTACCATCGATCAGTGTCCTCAGCGGCTCCAATCTCGGTCCATACACCGTCTTCAAGGAGTCAAAGAATTCCTTGGGTCAGCGGCGTTCGGCGTAGCATTCCATCTGCTTCGCCTTCTCCGTCCACCATGCATTTTTTATGCGACGGAGCTCTCGGGTCAGTCGCCGTCGAAGTTTGCGAAACTGACTCTTCTTCCTCAAGTCGCTGGGGTCTGCAGCATGTGTAGCAAATGCTGCATTCTTCTCTGACACCAATGCGTCAACCGTCACATTGTTGTCATCAAACCAATCAGGCCTTTTACAGTTTGCGCGCCCCATGGTCTCCTCGGCAGCAGCTGTCACTTGATCGCGAATGTGGTGCCACAGGTCGCCCACTGTGGCTATGCAATCCACATCACACAGGCGTGCAGCCATCGCCTTCTCCAGCTCAGTACGTTTCGCCACAGTACCGAGGGACAGAATGTTAAGTTTACGCCGATTCACGGCGGGAGTGCAATACATCGATTTACCAAAATATATGTACAGTTTGGTCCGAACCAACTTGTGATCAATGCCACACTCAGCTCCACGCAGTACACATGTCATGCGCACTTCACGCATATCACGCTGACGTACAATGATATAGTCGAGCAGGTGAGCGTAACCACTCCGTGGATGCGTCCAAGTTGCTATATCACTCGCACTGAGTGCAAACGGAGTGTTCGTGATCGTCAGGCCGTGAGTGGCACACAGTGAGAGCAGCCTGTCACCGTTTGCATTCGCTGAACCAATGCCATGCGCACCGATAACATCTGTCCACACTGATGCATCAGGCCCAATGCGCGCGTTGAACTCACCCAGCAGAAATAGTCGGTCGCTCCTCGGCACAGACTGTATCACGGAGGATAGTTGGGTGTAGAATTGATCACGTGTGTCATCAGGATAACACATGGCCGGACCGTACGTGCTTATAAAGGTGGCAAACTTACCTCTTCCGAGTCGTAAGCGAACAGTCATCAGTCGCGCGCTGATACACGTTGGTTCACCCACCAGCTGGCCATGGAGGCGATCGGATATTGCAAATCCGACCCCATGTTCACGTGGTGCTGAGGCGACGTTCCCCACCCAGTAAAATGTGTAGCCAGCACCTGCTTCATGTAACTTACCTTGCTCAGCGAGCCGAGTTTCACTGAGCGCCGCAATATCGATGTGGTAGCGCGCCAGCTCCATTGCGACCAGTGCAGTGAGTTGCTCCGGGCGCTCGCTCGAGTTCCGGTCCAGTAGTGTGCGCACGTTCCAGCACCTGATGCTGAGTGCTTTACGCGCAGGCATACGATTGCATTGGTGGGCAATCGCATGCGAGGTGGTCGTTATTCTTCGGAGGTTTGCTTGAGGGACTCCACCCGGAGCCTTTGGCTCAATAGCCTGACCCACAAGGCAGTGGAGAGCAGATCCAGCTCGGGAATGTGATTTCAGAGACAGATTGGGATCTGCTTGGCGGCCGTCACACGCAGCCTTTAAGGTTCTGGAACAATTATCATATGTTTTGCGACCGTAGTAGGATACGCACCTGCGACCACGGCCAGACGCAGTTGGGATTTTGGCGGGTTTGCACCAATTTGACCAGGAGCTGCCTGGCTTGAGGCGGGCAGTAGCAAACCATTGAACATCCGGAGATGTCCTCGCACCGTCAGAGACAATGCGTGGCCCTCGTGCTCTACGCCAATCGAGCTTTGAGAATATCACCCGTAAACCAGTTGTCTCCCATGACTAAGTTTTAAGGGAAGAGGGCCATCCACCACTTCCTAACCTCCGAAGAGGATGGACAAGGATACTGCCAGGGCGCCCAGTCCTGACAGGAGAACGACTCGGGTCCTCAGCCAAAGCCTTCGATTAAATGAACACCCGAAAGGCAGCGGGTCTAGCACTTGCTCAGTTAGCCGACTCATGCGGATTGGTGTCCTGGATCTTAGCAGGGAGAAGGTTGAAACCCAAATCCCACCCAGCGGTCGCCACGTGGAGGCGCCCAGGACATGAGCAAATGGCACAACAGTAGCAGCAATGGGTAGACCATCTGTCAGGATCTAGCCACCACCAGCCTCAGTGCACCATAGGCTCTCCATCCATAATTACATATGCCGTTATAAAACATGCACAGTTGTGAGAACCATATCGGATTTTTGCACAACCTTGATGACGTATTGTTATGTCAAACTGATCATGACTGTAAAGGCGGGCTTCTCTTTGTTGAGACTAAAAGTGTTACATGGTTGGCAGCATCCGGTTTCGGATTTGCCACACACTGTGGCCAGCCACAGGACGCCTGCGTTTACAGAGGGATCATGAATGGCTTGCGCTGCACCACCCACAGCTCCAACCACACACCCCATATCCAGTGTAAACACGAAGGAATAAGACCGGGAGGCATGTGGATGGGAGCCACGTTCCATCAACGGAGCCGGCCCACACTCCTTCACAGGCAAACACAAGCACGCTGTAGTTGGTGAATCAATCGCACACAAGGCGGTGGTTGGACCGTAGTCCGCTCCACACTGAGTGCATGGAACCACTCTTCGAGCCTAACACGGCCACCAGAACCGTGCACCCCGTACCCTCCATCAACGAACAACTGTCTCCTGGAGCTAGTTTGGACGGGGTAGTGGGTAATATACAGGTAGACACCTTGTCAACATACAAATCAAGCGCAGCCACACCGGGGATATCTAACAACAGCCAATAACTTGAGAGAAAGATAACCAAGAAAAGAAATCGCGTCATGCATTAAGAAACGGCTTCATAAATCTTAACATAGTGAGCATATGAAATAAGATGTTCACCAACGAATACGAGGTAAGTTCAAGAGGTCAGAAGTTTATTTTATGGAAATGCTACAAATATGAAATTTGTATCGTAATAACTACAATTGACTTAAGCGACGTGTGCAAGTGTTTAGAAGGAAGTAAAAGTACGCATTTATATGGGAAAGAAAAGCATTAAGGCAAATTGAAAACCTGCCACCTGAAATAAATAGACTTAGCATGCAAGCACGCGGTTAATAAATCGAATGCAGCGTACCTACATACGCTGCGCCGGTTCTGCCCACGTTCACTGCAGGACCCGTCGTCGCTTCGGTAGTGGTCCCGAGTGGCCTCGCTCATGGCTCACTAGGCCTGCCTGACTCAGGCACTCGCGATCGCATGCGCAACAGCACCACGCACTCGATGTTGATGGAATACAACCCATCAGTGCTTGCCGCTTCCGCTATTGCCGCTTCTTCTCTGCATGGATGAGGTCCTTTCTCCGCACTTCGGCAACTGCCTTCATGATTAGTTCGCGCCATGCATGCCGATCAACCGCCTTTGATTCCGAAAGCTTTACATATATATATATATATATATATATATATATACATATATATATATATATATATATATATATATATATATATACAGAGGCAAACACAAGCACACTGTAGTTGGTGAACCAAGCGCATACAAAGCGGTGGTTGGACCGTAGTCCGCTCCACACAGTGTGCATGGAACCACTCTTCGAGCCTAGCACGGCTAAAAGGACCGTGCATTCCCGTCCCCTCCAGCAACGATCAACTGTCTCCTGGAGCCAGTATGGACGAGGTAGTGGGTAGGCACCTTGTCAACATGCACATCAAGCGCAGCCACACCGGGGGATTTCAAGCAACGGCCAATCACCTGGAACGACAAGATGAAATAAGACAAATCCAAGAATGCATACAGATACGGTGGAATAATTCTTCGCTAAATTAGCATATGAAGTAACTTGGTTAGCAACGAATCCGCGATAAGAAAAAAATGTCCACAAATTACTTGAAAATGCTACAAACGCAACAAAATTACCGAAGATAAGTGCAATTAGCGAAAGCAATGTGGCCAGTTAATAGAACATTATTCAGGTAGGCAGAACAAACCAAATTAAGTGGAATGAAACGTATTCAGCTTAAAATGACCTAGTTCAAGTGTAAGTTGGTTTGGTTCAACTACGGTGAAGAAGCATCATGAATGCAACATCAGTCTCAGGATGGAACACTATATATATATATATATATATATATATGTATATATATATATATATATATATATATATATATATATATATATATATATATATATATACTGTTCCATCCTGAGGCTGATGTTGCATTCATGATGCTTCTTCACCGTAGTTGAACCAAACCAACTTACACTTGAACTAGGTCATTTTAAGCTGAATACGTTTCATTCCACTTAATTTGGTTTGTTCTGCCTACCTGAATAATGTTCTATTAACTGGCTACATTGCTTTCGCTAATTGCACTTATCTTCGGTAATTTTGTTGCGTTTGTAGCATTTTCAAGTAATTTGTGGACATTTTTTTCTTATCGCGGATTCGTTGCTAACCAAGTTACTTCATATGCTAATTTAGCGAAGAATTATTCCACCGTATCTGTATGCATTCTTGGATTTGTCTTATTTCATCTTGTCGTTCCAGGTGATTGGCCGTTGCTTGAAATCCCCGGTGTCGCTGCGCTTGATGTGCATGTTGACAAGGTGTCTACCTGTCTATTACCCACTACCTCGTCCATACTGGCTCCAGGAGACAGTTGATCGTTGCTGGAGGGGACGGGAATGCACGGTCCTTGTAGCCTTGCTAGGCTCGAAGAGTGGTTCCATGCACACTGTGTGGAGCGGACCACGGTCCAACCACCGCTTTGTGTGCGCTTGATTCACCAACTACAGTGTGCTTGTGTTTGCCTCTGTAGGAGTGTGGGACCCCTCTGTTGATATAACGTGGCTCCCATCCACTTGCCACCCAGTCTTATTCCTTCGGGTTTACACTGGATATGGGGTGTGTGGTTGGAGCTGTGGGTGGTGCAGCGCAAGCCACCCGTGGTCCCTCTGTAGGCGCAGACGTCCCGTGGCTGGCCACAGTGACAGGCAAATCCGAAACCGGATGCCGCCAACCGTATATATTTTGCATTACTTTATCTTTCTTACTGGTGTGCACAAGCATGTGGACTTTTTAAATTTGCTGTTGAGCAAATTCGACTGACTATCGTCAACTAAAAAACAACTACATTTCTTGCAATACTCACACGAAGTTTTGTATTATTTTTGAACTGCATTCTAAATGGTTGTGACCATCGCAGTGAGGTTGGACCTTCCCGTCGTTCGATGGTTTTTGTGCCTCAGTGATCCGTTGAGCTAAACTGGGTGTTGCATTTTTGCACCTTCTGAGTCACTCAAACCAGCTTGGTCAGTGGTTAGAGGACAGACAAGCTCAGCCTTCTGGGCCTCCAGTTTGGGGGTTGGAATGAGGATGGCACCTTATTCCTTAAAACGGACTCCTAATAGTTCAACCCCAACTGCGCTGCCATGCGGTCAGGTGTTTGAACTAAAGACTTTGATTGAGAACCCTAATCGTTCTCCTGCCTAGGCCTGGGCAAGCTGACAGTATCCTGCCCACGTCATATAATCAGTTTCTTTCCAAACAGTTCCTTGTTGCTCTGGCTACCGCAGAGGATAATCAACGGTGCTTTATCTGCTGCATCGAGCAGGGTGGATAGGGGTTTGAATGCTACTGCTCAGGCCTTCCCTTCTTCATATTCCTCCTTACCTTTTTTCTCCCTTATGGTCCAGTTCCAACTTCACTTTTATCCCCCCAGTTTTCAACCCCCACCCGATTCTTGTCTCTCCTCCAATATGCTTTACTAGGGGTTTATCTTCTAGTCTCAACTCACAAGCAAACGCCGAGCGGCACTCCTGCCTTGTCGACAAGCGCATGTCCAAACTATCGGTCGACCCCATTTCATCGACTTCCATTTGGAACCCTTGGTCCTCCTTCAGATTGGCATGCCTCAATGTTCGCATATTGCTTCAGATTGGTCAACAGGCAGCACTTGCCCGAACAGTAGATACCCTCTCAATCAATATTCGCTACTTATCGGAGACTCGTCTGCAAGGCTTGAGTTCTGTGCTCCCTTTGCGATTCAATTCAGGTGACACCAGCAGTATTTTCTCATTACGCCTATCCGGTGACGATGCAGCCTATAGCACCGGCCAAACTGGTGTTGGCGTTGCCCTGAGTCCCCGGGCTGAAGCTGCTCTGGTTGATTGAATTCCAACCATTAGCCGATGTGCGCTGTCCGATTGGTTGGCTCGTTCAAAACTTCGAAGTAGCACGGGACTAATAGGTGTCTATTCATCATCGCTGCCCACGCGCCCACAAACTGTAGTGATGATTCGGTAAACAACTAATTCTACCTCCAACTTACCGAGCACCTTCGCCACAAAAGAAGCACAGACACTGTTATGTTGTCG